TAAAACAAGATCGACATAAGAAACTGAATTGAAAGTTAGGTAGAACTTTCAATTACTAGTTATTTTACTTTTAATTTGAGCACCGATGAAAATTAACTTCGGAGGTATAGTACATAAAATGAATGTAGTGTCACATATTCTCAGGTATTTAAGCACAATGTTTAAAAGACTTCATGTAGTTGCTGAACTATATATAAATTAGTCTCGGTGTAGAGAATACTTTTGGGCAATAAAAAGCAGAACGCTACAGTCTCTAGTACTTCAAGCAAAATCGCGCCAAAAGCAAAAATAGACAGACAGTGAACAAGGTTAGCTTTGTTCTACTGGCTGTTGTTAACTCAAATGGTAATTCTACATAAACTTTTGATGTAAATATTAGGTTTGGTGAAAGACTTTGGTAATTGACTGGACGGTAAAGCGTGAATAATTAACCAATACGTTTTCAACTGAGTCTAAAACCTGTTTGGTTCTTTATGCAGATAAAGTGGTGCATGAAGATTTCATTCTGAAACTATTTAATAGGTTTTAGAAACGTTAGTGGCCTGGAAATACTTCTTTTTCACCAGGTTAAAGAACAATAGTATAGCTATCATTCTGCTCATGCTAAAATTCTACTATGTAAAACATAACAACAACTGTATTTTATACTTCTGATCTTCAACGAATTTTATTGAGACAGCGACAAGCAACAAATGTTTCATCAGTACACCTCTACTTATCCAAGTGGTTAAGTCAAAATAGCATTTATTGGTCAACTGTTTTTAGACCTACAAGAAAGGTTATGTTTTAATGTGTTGTTACCTCTAAGGAAAAAATTTATATCCGCCAACTCACAACGTGACTCAAAAAGTAAAAAAATAGACAGGAATGAACAAAGACTATTATGCGAATGATACTTTTTCAAATTTTTTAACAGAACAAGAACAGAGAACAATAAATACAACTTTGGTGTCAATACCTGCAAAAGCGCACGATTAATTCTTCATGTTACCGTAGTCGTAATTTTTTTTCCCAAATCCATTGACATGCTGGTGGTTAGTGTCATTAGTTTTATGGGGAATTCATATTCTCCTGTATTTTAATCTTGGTATTTGATGGTAGACTAAAGTTTAACCATTTGTCGGAGGAAACAAACAATATAACAGTAGGGCTTTGACAAGTAGTATAGTGTGAACCAATATTTAATTTGCCGGACAATCTGTAAGGAATTGAATGACATGGCTCAAAATCGTTTGCAATGGTGCAGGTGCATACACTCTTTGTGTTCTCCCGAATTCTAGTCTTCTGAGTTCTTCGTGTCCCTTTTTCCTCTTTCCAAATTTATTTAACTGGATTATACTCCTCGAATAACATCTTCAAACCCTAATCTTTTCGATTACTGCTTATACTCTTACTACCACTACCACCACTGGATTTGAATTGACAACTGCATCTCTGCGCTAATGTGGTGTGGCAACTCTAACTGATGCAAGTACGTACGAAATCTTACGTTGTTACTGACTGACTGACTGTAAGGAATTTGGAATGAACATATATACGAAAATAATCCATGTTGATCGAAAATCAGTTATATATTTATGCAACTTAATATGTTAAGTCTTTTTGAGAAGACATTTTATTACTTTACACTTCTGTCTCACCGTAGGGAATTTATTTTGAACGGAAATTACTGCTGATATAAAAGAATACATCCCATTAAAACTTCCTTTTATACCGAAAAAGTAATACACTTGTATACAAAAGAAGTGACACCATAAAATGCATAAGATTCTTCAAATACCAGTAACACTACTTTGGTAGGAAGTGAATACAATGAAGAGAAGGCTCACTAACTTTATGGTTTTAGTCGCTGTTCGCTATGCCACCAACACGTTCATAAAATAAATGTCCGGTACATTCATGAATACTACCAATATGTTAATAACGTAAATAAGACAGGTGAGTAAGCTTTATAGGTTTTTGAAAATCATCAGTGAGGTTTAATGTGTTCTGCTAAAAGATATCATGAACAAACCTTTGATTTTTTGTTAGCCTCCAATTTCTGCCTAAAAAATGAACTACCAGAGCTTGAGCAAGCAACATTTGTCCACATCGAAACATGCATCCCCATCCACAATCTGATGTCTGAACAGATAGAGGAATATATGGACTCGGGATATTCGAGGATTTTGGCCCAACATGGTTTGTAGATAGTGGAATAGAATGACTACTTTTGCTGTAAATTGATAAGTTTTCTGTGTATACATATTAAAATAAGTGGGACATACTTGATTGAGTTTTAAATAGGTCAACTTTGGCTTGGATACTTTCACAGTCACACGAAGCTGGTCTTTCAGTAGATAGTGAATACGGCATATTATTGGTAGAGGTACTAGAAGGACTTCTTAATAATGGGGGGAAGTCATCACGATAAGTAAACCATAATCTACTTGCAAAGTCTGAAGCAAAATCTGAAAAATTTCCATCCAAAATTATATCCCTCGGGATAGTTGAGGAATGGTCTGAAGTATGAAAAACGTAAATAAAATTAGCTAAAAAAAATTTATTTTGCTCATGTAAATAAAACTACCACAACTTGGTGTAGATGTTAGCGAATGAACAAGGACCTTTCGTAGTTACATTTCTAAAGTTTGACCGATAACTTATTCGGAAATACAACGATACGGAACACTTGTGATGAGATTTGCTGGAAATAGATAATAAAGTTATCCTTTAAAGTTCTGAGTCCCCTAGGAGCAATATTGAATATTCCCCCCATATAGTTAGCATGTAGTTGTATCGGGTGTGATGATGTGGGTGTCCACTGCTGAAGAGTTACATACAAGGACGAAACGGCCGTCCAGGGCTTCCAAGTTTTGAATGATTGTCTAATCTACGCCGGTTTTTCATTTCAATAAAACTCAACAAACCCATACAGACATTGCTTCATCAGTCATTAAAGTTTTTGACCTAACATCAACGCTAACATGGTCATAAATTTTAGGGTGTCAGCCCATTCGAAATGACAAAACAATAGAATGACACTGCCCTATTCACTGACTACTGTAAGATAATTAGATCTGTGGGCACTACCTACCGTGATGACGGCTAAAAGAATCTTTCCAAAAAATTTCAATTTGATTACTTAAAAAATCATTTTCAGAGAATGAACGTAAACTGTAGTTGTATTTCCGATTATTTGGTAATGAAGTGAGTAGCTATATCCTATTACAAGTCATTGCATAACTGGTGTAGCTCATGTTCAGTACACAAAAGTGCTCATAGTTGAGTTGTATTACTTTTATTAACTGTCTAATCACCTCCACCCCCATGTGACAGAAGGAGCATATGATTTTATCGTTATAACATAAACACCACAAGCTTAGTTCCCTTCAGCATTAGGTATTTGCTCAGAGACACCAATGTTACATAGCTTACAAATAAGGAAGACAAATACATGTAATCTAAAACATAAGATTTCCTATTGACCAATTTAGTTTACGGTTTAACTTGAAATACTTTCCAACACTAGGAGAAAAAATTGCATGATGGATTGTAAACTAGGATGAAATAACTGGAACGGAAATTGACAATAATCGAATATGGTGATGAGATAGCTAAGACACTACAAGAAATTCAGCCTTTAGGTAACATACTCTGCAATTTAGATGGTCATCTAGAACTCGGAACTACTGACGGGAAACAATTCGTTAGTTTACATTCTTACGAACTGGTTATTACCAGGTCAATTTCCAATACTTGTAGTCACAACAATGTGGACACATTTACGTCACCTTTGGCGGAGGCGAGATATCCGTCTATCAATAAAAGGACGAGTATACTGCGCGGCAGTCCGTTCTGTCTTACTTTACGGCAGCGAAACATGGCCTTTAAGAGTAGAAGACACCCGTAAGCTACAAGTATTTGACCACAGATGCCTTAGAAATATTGCTGGCATCTGCTGGGATTACCGGGTAAGTAATAGTGAGGTTAGACGCAGGGTATTAGGGAATGATGGTAAATCAGTTGATGAGGTTATGAATCTTCATCGACTGAGATGGTTGGGCCACGTATTACGTATGCCTGAACACCGATTACCACGACGTGCAATGCTAACCGGTGTAGGGGTTGGTTGGAAGAAAGTTAGGGGCGGCCAAACCAAAACGTGGCATCAGTGCTTGAAGTCACTAACTTCTAGTCTGAGCCATGTTGGTAATTGCAGACTACTTGGTTGGGGTCCGCGTGACTTTCGTAACCAATGGTTGGAGACTCTTGGTGACATGGCTCAGAATCGATCACAATGGCGTCAGTGTATACACTCTTTGTCTTCCCTTAAACTAAGAGATTAAAATCACTTCATATCTTTCTTTCTACGAACTAATTCTTCCTTCCTATACTATATCCTTATTGCAACCTTTGACCTAACCACTCCTATGAATCCGGTGTTCATCTTGTTGTGCTAATGAGGTATGGCAACCTGGACCGATGCACATATGTGCCTGGTCCTACGTTGTAGCTGACTGACTGACTGACTGACAGATAGATAAGGAAACACCATAACAAGCAAAAAATCGCGTTAACTAACCAGAAGTAGAAGCGAAATAGCACCGACCGAGCATATATATTATTGCATTTTGATCGAAATTCGGCCAGAACTGAATGGACCAACCAAACTTTAACTGATTCCACACTGAACGTATGTGGTCAAGAGTTGTGAAGCTGGATCGTGTAACTGATGCTGGGTTTCTGCTGCGAGAAACTCTCATCTGAGTGCAAATGGTATTTCCTTCACCTCGATTGATTTCCAGGATGATCAAGTGATTCTTTTGAGCATAGCTACTTCCTAAAACTCCCAACAAATATGTGAATCCGAGTTTACATTGGAAACCCAACAGGACTCTTTTAACTAAATGAAACAAAATACTATAACTCATGGTAATGATGAGCAGCTAAAATAAGTGTCGAAAACAAAAAGAATGATGTCAGATATTTATTTGTTAATTTACTGTTATCAAACAAAATCATTCATACAAATTTCTATTTCCCGGGACAACAGGCAAAGTTAGCAACCCGTGGGTAATAACTCTTTGAGGCGAAGACATGTTGGGGACAGATACTCCCTTTTCAAGATGATATTGTTTAGACAAATCGACCAAAGCCTGAGAAATACAACTGTAAAGAGCGGGACTTACTGAGAACGTACGAGGCTCGTAAATAGACAGAATTTGTAGCATGTTTTTGTTAAGAGCGATATTTGACTGGGCTAAGCCTTCACATAATGCTCTTGCACTGGGTAGACCACACTGTTCACTAGCTATTTCCAGACGCTCCATCCACAACGATTTCATTTCTTTCCTCCGAACTTCTCTTACATCTTTCATGTACTGGAAAGCCCTGATAACACGGCTAGTGCCTAGTTTATGACATCGGGCCGTTCGACCTTTGAAAAACTTCACTATTACTAAAATGTTGTGCATATCTTACGAAAGCGAATTTCATTAAATTGTCTCTTCGGAACCACCTGTCACACGGCATAAACGGGACAATTTTTCTGATGGAAAGGATATCTGTTAACTTCATTTTCTTGAGGGCTGAAAAGTCGGGACGGCAAGAAATGTCAGGCTCACTCAAAGCCACTCGCAGTTTCGTCCCAACGACCCTGAACAGTTTGAAATGAGGCGGCCATTCTGTATTTCAATTACTTTGGGTTTGTTGGGTATCCGTTAGGTTGCACGAATATTAACTGCTCTCGTATTTAAGTAGTCTTTTGCTGCAGTGAAATCACAGTGATAGCGAAGATCATTAATGTAACTTTATTTGTTTTGTAGTGTACATGTTATCTCTATTGTTGTTTCATAACTTCAACTGGGATAGCAGTTATTCTACCGAACCTAACTACCTTTGTTTAAAACTTGGTAAAGCCCAGAAAACAACGCAGTGAGGATAAGAATAACTTGACAGCTCTATACACACGAAGTCCGTGTGAATCGCTGTTTTACTCAAGGATTAAGACGAAATGTCATACAACCGGTAAGTCTTGAATATTAGTACGACATTCTTCATTTAGTAAAGTATTGTTGCAATGAATAACGTTTTTAATAATTACTCAGTGTTATAGTTTTTCATGTTCAAGAGATATTTTAGTCGCCGTAAGCGAGGTGTTTCAAAGTATAGTACCGAAAAGGCATTTCAGAAGCTGGATTACATTCGACAGTGTGCTAGCGGAATTCCGAAACGTAGGGGGGAACAACTTTATCTCTTCCCAGACTACCCATAGTCACTACGTTTACGCTTAAATTAAACTTCTGAAGGACATGAGATTTAAATACGTATTTGGATTGTTTCAGTTCACATTTGGTCATAAGAGTAAACCACAAAGTCAAAACAATCATTGTTTGTTTTATAAGTGTCCGTTTCGTTATGAAAACTTGTAGTACTGCATCAGTCTAAACGTTTCTCCAAAAATTTGCATTTTATATATAAGTTTCTTAACTGACATTATATTCAGATGAACACTCGTAGTTGCACTGGTTCCTATTCACACGATCTTTGAATCCGAGCATATAATTAATGAAAAGACGTATGTTTAACATGCAATACTTGGAGAAGGTCAGCGATGGTGAGCGCGGAAACATCCATTCAATCGGAAGGAATGGCTCAGCCTCGCAGACGTGGTCATTCTGTATAACCTGTCTTTATTCGCTTTAAATATATTATTCTATCCTCAGCCGAAATGTTTTCTTTAGAAGTACTAGGTGTCATATTGCTAATTCTCACAGAACGATGAGTTGGTGCAAATAACGATGCGACTTCCACGTAAGATCTTACAGATCAGACGATCGCATCATGAAAATTCACCGTTTTGGGATTAGGTCTATTATCAAAATAGTAGTAGTACCAAAATAGGCTATAATTCTACATACTGACATGATTTACAGTGCAAAAGACTGAGTATAGTTAATATATATATATTTGTTTATTTAAATAATTCGTGAGATGAATCAATGTGGTAGTAGTCAATATAAAACAGTTATCGTCAGCTTGTAAGTTGTTTCTCCACACAATCTCTCATATTCAGAAATTCTTTAACGTGTTCACCGGCACAGACTCTATTATTAGAAAGATTTGAGTCTTTCAATTTGTTGATAGAGGCCGTAAGTTGCATATCGAAAATCGCATAAAGATCTCAGCTCAATGCAATTCTGAAAAACAATAAATATGTCGTGAAACAAATGATTAAACTATGTCATCGGCATCAAATTCAATAAGTAAATAAAATAGCAGCTAACAGAACGTACATTTAAGTGTCTTACTTGTTGTAAACAGTGCTCTTCAGTTTCTAACCCCTTAGAATTTCGCGTAGTCAGTTGGTATTAACAAAGGAACTGCAAGCACCAAATAAACGAATTCATAATCTTCAATTACTAATGTGAAATCTGAGAAAAATCGAATTTCAACGTTCATAAAATTATTAGCAATTTACTGTTTAATACAATAATGGCATCATTGGTAGTCACTTTTTAGATATTACTCGTCGATGTGCATTGAAACTTAGTTTACAATTTGGTCAGTGGTTTCGGATTCTGTTTACAAAAATTATTTCGTGAACCCTACAACAGACACATCATAATTCATTACTAACCAACGACATGATTTAGTTACCATACTCGAAACAAACATGCATCGTTTTATTCATTATGAAGAAAGATTACGAAAATTGACCGAATAATCACTATTAGTGTCTGGCAAATAACGAGCATTTTTGGCGATTCGTTGGCGTGGAGCAGGACTCTAAGGGGACTAAATCTGTACCTTGATAACTGTACATTTCCTACATTTATTTAGTGTCTTCAACCGCATATAGAATATAAAATCCAACGTTGTGTTGCACTTGTTATTTCTTGTCAAAGAGATTTAACAGAGTTCCTCAATTAAATACTCTAACTCATAATTTACTTAAATCTTCGGAAATTACGTAGAAATTTCAACTCGGTCTCAGTCAAGCTTAAGCTTGAGCAACAAATCTTTACCATCATGTATTGTTTAGTCCAACGCTTTTACTTCTGGTTTTTCTATAGTTCGTCCTACGAACATGAAAAGAACGTATCATGATATTTGCACCCTGGTATATTACTTTAACGACAAGCATTTTGAATCTAGCGTACTCAATAGCAAATATTCAGATTCCAGTTGTATCAATAATTATGGCTTTACACTTTTCTGGTGTCTAATTGCAGTCACTAGTTTATATCAAATACACCTCTTTGTACATTTTCATCAATTTATCTGAAGTTATTAATAACCGATTTACATAATTTTGTTATATGTGATGTAGCGTGTTTAATCAATGATACTTCAGTCACCTTTATCGTTGTTTGATTACGTTCTACAATGTGCCGAATTTCGTTGTACGTTTCGGATATTTGATATGGTGTTTCTAACAAAGGTTTTTCATATTCTTGTAACGACTGAAATGTCAAGATTTGGTTTGAACGAACCAAAATTTATTCGTTTAGATCAGACTACCTTCTTCTGTATATCGTACAGAGCGTTTTTCAGTTACTCGTATCAAATTACACCAAAAAACAAACTCTGTGCTCAATTTAAGCGGTTCGAATTCAAGTAAGAGAAAAAAATATATCAAAAATACAAAATACCTCAAACTGTACAGCCTGTGCTATGCGGTCAAGGGTTTCTCTAGCACAAATTAACGTACTAAACAACAAAATAAACAGTTAATACACAAGAGTTCAATACCTAAGAGTCAATAAAAATATTCCTAAGATGGGATCAGACATCTGACTGCAGGGATTCTAGGAAGCGTTCTAGGCAGACTGTCAAAGGTGGACAGTCACACACTGAACCACGACGAGAACTTGAGCCTAGTCAAACATGACCTTAGTGTCAATAGTCTGGCAACATACAACAGAAGAAAATTGGTAACAAAATGTAAGTCTTTAATCAAAGTCAAATTATAAAAGCCCAGACGAGGAACAATCAAAAATACAAATTGTAGTTAAAGAGATCCGAATCAAGGTTGAAATACACGACATGGAGAAAAAACGAATGAATGGCAATACTGTCCAACGAATTGCTGTGGAGACATTTTCAGCGTTTTATTTCCGTTACATTCTTGTTATGCCTTATTGTGTTTCTTCCAGTCAAACGCAGTCGGTGAAGCTGGCGGGCTTTTCTGGTGAAGAGGCATACATAGAAGCACGACACAACTGTTTGAGCTCAATAGTTGTTTTCTCAGTTTTTCGAGATCATTATGTTCACGTGGTGGCAGACCATCTATAAATAAAATAGCAATAATTGATAATTCCCCTTGAGATTGGGGATTTTTAGTTGCATCCAGAATATGGTCATTCACGTAGGCCATTGTTTATTGTTGGTGTCGTATTTTCGATTCTCTTTGGTATTTGTATTCCTTTGTGGTTTTTGTTTCATATTTTTTTGCTTGAAATTGGTTGGTGTAGTTGATCTAATTGGGGATGGCATGCGCTGATGTGTCTTTTTAGCCATCCTTCAGTTTTGTAGGTCTTTGAGCGTTCTTCTAGGGAGAATTTATATTCCTCCCGCGACATGAAGCCCGTTTTTTATAGTTGATGGTCGTTTCTGTTATATCTATTCATTTCCTTAATTGCTGTAAATAGTCGCTGGCAATTGCTGCTGCTGCATTTGTATATCCCGTTTCATTTACCAACTTTTTCGGGATCCCACCACGAAGATTTGTAAGTTTTATTCTTGTTGAGTCTGTTAACCATTCCTGAGGAAAATTCTCATTGAGTAATTACGGGTCATTTTTTATTCTTCATAGACAGCTTCTAGGGTGAGATGAACTTTTTATGTGGTTTTTATTATTTAGTGGGCTATTTAAAGACCTCACGATTAGGTTATTTGGTCTTTCGTGTGCTGCACTTCATAAGTTCATTTTATTTTGTAGTATTTTCTGTACTAGGTTAGAGAAGACTATGTATTCGTACAGTTGACTATCTGTAAGTTTCTTTCAAACATCGATACCCATGATCATTCTCCAAGCAGTATTGAGGACCACTTCTAGTCTGGTCCAGTCCTTTTCGCTTGAACTATAAGCTCAAGCCTACAGGTTAGGATGAGGATTACTGAAGAATCCACCAACTTGATGTTTGTTCACGTGCTAGACTTTGTGGAGGGTAGTAATAGTTTGCTTTTGATCGATGTTTTCGCCTTACCAATGTTGAATTAGACTGCTTCATCTGGAGTTCCATTGCTCCTAAGCACTGATCATGGGTAGTTCAACGTAGTAACTTATTCGTGTTTGTGGTTGTTGATTACTCTTTCAAGTGCGTTGCTTTGTTTGTTTATAACCATGACTTTGATTTTGGTATGGGATATTTCCATTCCTAGACTGGCTAGGTGATTTTAAAGAGATGTATGTGTTTTGATAGTTCCATTAGGTGATATACTTATTAGACATAAGTCGTCAGCATAGTCTATAGGCGATGACGTCCAAATTGTATTGTTGTTGTCAGTCAGTTCAGGCACAATCGGTGTCTGATCTATTGTTGAATTAAAATGTAACGGAAATAAAACGCTGA